AATTGCGTAGTTAGATATATTTTGAGTAAATATGTATTCTAATATTTTTGTTGAGCACAAAATTTATTGCAAATAAAATATTGACATGACTTGCTGAAAAGGTTAAAAAAAAAAAAATTTAGCAAAAATCAATCACATTTTATGTACATATTATGTATTTGCATATGTCCGTGGTCTCTACCTTTTACCTTGAATAAATAATTAACTTGAGCAGAGTTCAATTAGACTCTAATAAGTTTAGTGTTTGAGAACCAACTTCGAAATTCGAGTAGAAGTTTGGCCCTATAAGTTCACCACTGTTAAAACATCGTCATTGTTAAACTCTACTCCGTATAATCATAAATCGACCAGTTTAAGGCCAAACAATAAGTCAATCACCCCTTAGATAGCTTAATTGATAAACCCATCGATAAAAATTCCCAATTGTTAAATCCCTACCCAATCGGAAAGAAGACCAAATTACGTGACACGTGATTAGAATTATCGCTGCAAAGTATAAGAAACGAATAGTAGATACGGAAACAACTGGAACCAAGGGTCAAGAATAATAAAACACTTACCTCCAAATCCCCAAACATTCCTAAAACCCGGACCAAATCCTCCACGCCCTCTTTCGACGCCTTCCACTTAGGATTGATTGTTGGATTTAGTGTTGATTATTTGAAAACCCGAACACTGGTGTAACCTAACCTCCGGTCGAGTTCTGACCAGAACCGGTTCACACATCTTCACCGTAGACTTTCCGTTCGACCAATCTTGATCCATTGTAGTTTGTGTCACGTTACACAAAAGACACAGTTGGGTCATTTAAAATAGAATTTCTCTTATTTCTATAATGTAAATGCTATATTACATTTATAAAATTAAGGTGATCAATATGCAATTAAGTAATGGCAACAGCAAATATCACCATGATTGCACACACTAAAGCCATGACTGAACGAAAGGTATATATCATGTTTAAATTATTTATCAAAATAATTGTCAAAATAATTTATATCTTTTAAATTATTAAAAGATTAAATAAGGAATTTATTATATTTTTGTTAAATATTGATTTACTTTTTTTAAAATAATTATTATATATTTAACAGGTGTATAATTACTTAAGGATTTTTGGAACTCTCAGGGAACTCAAGTACAATGGTGTTAATGAAATTAAATACTATTTATATAATGGTTTGGGATCTAATATATTTGTCTTGTTAAATGATCAGATCATATCTTTTGGTGGTCGCTGCTGAGGATTCAAGTCTCACAGGAGGAACGATTAAAATTCAGGATTATAAGAAGCAAAAAGGAATTGGAAGAAATTATCACTTACCCGATTATTATTATTATTAAAACAATAAATACGAGAAAATATTATAATTATTTTTCTTTTTTAATAGTAAACTTTAGTCGTATAACAAGTGTTATATGTCAAATAGACTTTTTTGTTTATTTGTTATTATAAAAAGAAAAAGAAATCCGTTATTGGATGTTTCGCACCAATAACAGTCGCATCTGGTAAGCCAGATTCTCTTTTATTTGGCAAGTGAAAAAATCACACTGTGATCCATAGGATCACAGCCTGCCAAATAAAACTGTTATTGGATGCTACACATCCAATAAATATTTATTGTATATTGTTATCTTTAAAAAACTTAATAATAGATTTAAAATTTGTGATTATATGAATAGTATAGGAGATTGACTATTTAAAAAATAATTATTTATAAGTTTTTTTGTTATAATAGGTTTAAAAATTCCAATAACCTTTCCACTAATTTTATTGATCAATTTTTTGACTAAAGTTCTCCTATTCGTGTTTGAAAATGCGATAAAAATTATTAATGAATTATCGCCATTTATTTCTCTTAATTCTAGCGCGGCTTTTAAAATTTCATCTTCATTAATTTCATAAAGATCGATAAAAATTGTGCCATAAGGTGTCTGATTATATGTTGCTTTGTAATATTTTGCTGCTTTAATTCCTTGATCATATGTATCATATAAATCGACCGATATACTATGTTTAAAATAATTTACTATTGCATTTCTTGCATTTTTAGATGGATAAATCAATAATACACGATTAATTGGCTCATCAACTAGCGTATTAAGTAAGTTATAAGATCGTTCTAAACTACTTTGTCCAGCTGGTGTTATTTCAACATTCCACGCAAACCAAAATTTACTTCCTTTACCTAATTGGCTTTCTACACCTATTTCACCACCATTAATATCTACTAGTTTTTTACATGTCATTAATCCAAATCCTGTTCCGTTAACATTAAAGTTACCTTTCCAAATATTGTTTATGAATTCAGAACTGATGCTATTATGGATGAATGTCAGATTAATAAAAAATAGATATAGCATAATGCATAATTAATTATTAATGACTTACCCAATACCAGTATCACTTAATTCAACTAACAATGTTGCTTTTTTAGCTATTTCACTTCCAAATTTTTCGTATGAAATACTCTGTGTTTTTAATGAGACTTGCAAAATTATTTCACCTTCTTTGGTAAATTTGATTCTAAATAAAAAAATTTAAGGTTTAATAATTACAATATAAATTCAGCACAATTTGATTTTAAAGAAATATACTTACGAGTTTGACAATAAATTTATTAATATTTGTTTTAGTCTATAATAGAAAAATACAATAAATTAAATAGATAATTTTAAACTTTCTAAAAATAATACAATATATAATATACCTTTCAGGTTCACTTTTAACATATCGCGGCAAAGTATCTGATTCGTAATTCAAAATTAATTCTACTTGTTTATTACCAACCCCTTCACTAAATAGTTCAATTGTATCTTCAAATAAATCCAATAAATTAAAAGTTATTGATGTATTTTTATGTTTTTCTAATTTTGCTTCGTTGAGAAAATTATTAACCATAGATAATACTGAGTCAGAAACATTTAATAATATTTTAGCCATTTCTTTTTGCTGAATGGTCGATAATTCATTTTCAAAAGAAGAAGTGATACCAATAATTGCTCCTAGTGGTGTTCGTAACTCTAAATAAATTTATTAATAATTTATTTTAAGATAAATAAAAAACATTTTTAATTCAAAAAATTTTCATACCATGAGAAACATTGGCTAATATCAAACTCTTAACATTATTAGCAGCTTTAATTGCTTCTATTTGTACTTCCCTCACAAATATGTCATCTAATGATGATTTATAATTAAACATTAAATTCATTTGATTTGATATTTGTTGAAATAAATCAATTTCTGAATCAAGCCAAGTAGAATTCGGTGCTCTATGTGCCTTTATCCACATCAAATCTCCATTATTAACTTTTATCTTTGCAGATATCATAGAGACTTGTTTGCCAAAATCAAAACAATATGTATTAGGTAAGACCTCTACTTTAAATTCCTTATCATTATAATTTGAAAATTTTTGCTGATTTGTCATCGTTTGTTGCATATTAGAATTTTTAGGTGTTAAGTAAACTAAACCACAGTAATCACTAGCAATAAATTTTGTTTGATTAGATTACACTTAAGAAGTTTACTTTACTATAATTAAAATTTATTAATATGCTAAATATATTATATTACCTTACTGCAATTATTGTACGGCTTTTAAGTTCGAATGGATTATCAGAAATAACAAATACACTATCGCATGGTAATAGTTGGTGGATATCTTCAACAGTTTTTGGAAGCATTTCTTTTAAATCCAATCCGGAAAGAATATTACTTGAAATTGAAATTAATAATTGTTTGACTTCTTCTTGCTTACAATGTAGAGATATTAATTGACAGCGAAGTTGTGAAATTTCAATATTAGTGTTTATACGAGCGATTAATTCCCGTGAACTAAATGGCTTTACTATGTAGTCGTTTGCACCATAATCTAATCCTAAATATGTGTTAAATTTAAATTAAAATATTATAAAGACTTGTAATAATCGCCAGTGTGATGTACCGCTACTAGATTATTGCGGTTTGCAAAATTATGCAAAGAAATTGCACGATTTTTAGGCAATTTCTAAGTGATTTCTGATTTCTTAAAGCAACTCCGATATCTAGGTATAAAATTGTCATATTGGAGTTGTTTTAAGAAACTTTTTTCGGTTTTTTTTTCTTTTTTTTGATGATCTGCAAAATTTACAAACCGCAATACAGTAATAAGATCAGGTGTAATGTGAAATCGATTACAAATTTTAAAAAATCATAATTTCGCCTATGAAACTACCTTCAGAATTTTAACAAACAAAATTTAAGGATAGATTATCGTTTCGTTAATGTTTTATCTAAACTAACTTAACTACAACCTTTTATCTTAACTCAAACTTAACCATTGGCTTTATAAAAATTATTTGTTTTCAGCCATCGCACTGGTAATGAATGATAATCATTTCTCATAAAAGACCATACCTGAAAATTCATCAGCCCTTGCAGTTAATAAGATCACCGGAATTAATTGTGTCGTTGGATTAGATCTTAGTTTATTTAATAGTGTATACCCATCCATATTTGGCATCATGATATCTACCGATTCAATTAATAAGGTTAATGAATTTATTATATTATTAAGTAAATCTGAATTATTTTACTTACCACTAAGAATTAAATCTGGCTGTTTAGGTAGTTTTGCTAAAAGCATCATAGCATCGTAGCCATCGTAAGCACAATAAACTTCAAACTCTTTTCTTAATAATTCTTCCAGATAATTTCTGTGAATTATTCACAATTAGAACAATATTTCATAATTTTAAATTCAAATTTGATCAACCAACTTACTTCATGTCTAAATTATCCTCAACAAGTAAAACTTTATGTTTCACCGTCTTAGCAATCACAGACCTATCATCTATTGATTCTGGAATTAATAACTCTTTTTTAGTTGTAGGTTCATTGCTTTGTGACCATTGCAAATTTTCTTCTAAATATAGTTGTTTTTTTGTGTACAATTTCTGTTCTTGATTCAATTCATCTACTTTTTTATTAATATAAACATTTTTCCTTGGTAAATGCTCAAATCCTGTTAGAAACCGGCATTTAAATGTTGTTCCTCGGCCAAGTTTTGAGGTTGCCGTAATATTTCCACCATGATATTTAACAAGCTCTTTTACAAGAGCAAGACCAACCCCGCTACCTTCGTAGCTACGCGATCGTTGAGATCCTACGCGCTGAAACCGCTGGAATAATTTTGGAATATCACTTTCAGAAATACCAACACCTAAATTAAGTTATAAAGCTTAATTATAAAACTTGAGTTAAATCATATAAAGTTTAGTAAGAATTACTACTAACCTGTATCTGACACTTCAAGAATTATTGTATTTCTTTCATCTTCCTGTTCAATATACAAGCAAACACAGATTTGTCCATTCCAAGTATTCTTAAATGCATTTGAACCTTTAACAGTGCAAGTACTTTAGTATAATTAATTTAATTATTTTTATATTAAAAAGTTTTTGAAAAAATATATCATTTACAAAGATTATAAATAATTGTTTCAAACATGTCATGATCAAGATAAACTTTATTGCCTAATGCCTTTTTAAACTCATCTGGATTTGGAATATCTATAATATAATCTAAGTTTAGCTTTTTAGCTATTTCATTAAAATTAGCTGCTAATTCAGAAGTAAATTTTGCTATATCAGTTTCACAATAATGTGGTTCTAATTGACCACTTTCAACGATCGAAAACTGCAAAAGAAAAAAAAAAATGAAATAATTTTATAGCTAGTTTTATAGGTATATAATTTTTAAAGTTAAATCTTTTATTAAACATGTTACCTGATGCAAATTGTTTACTAGTTTGAGTAATCGATAAGTGTTACGTTGAATAGTTTGAAGGTGTAAATGAATAATCGTTTCTTGCATGCATGAATTAATTGCTTCATCAAGCGGCAAAAGTATTAATGTTAACGGTGCTAAAATTATTAAAATAGATTTAGTATTTACTTTAAGAATTATATCATATCGATATATTGCGATAATTGATAAATACTGAGTAGTTCATGACCAACGTTTTGGAAAAACATGACTTTTTGACGGTTTAAATCATCCAACATTTTTATATGTTCTTCTTCCTCTTTTCTTAATATACATCGTGTTAATGTTAAGCTAACATGATTTACAATTAACTAAATAAATCAAAAGGTATTATGAATGCTTCCGATTTTATGTAATCAAGAAAAATAAAAAAATTACATAATCTTACTTGTAAAAATTCCATATATTTCTCATCAAGTGGATAACATGGATTAATACCACATATTAAGACAGCTAATAAACTTTGATATCCTTCATATGGAGATTTAACCGGAAATAATACAGCTTGAGATCCATCTTTTAAAAGAACTTTTATATGCATATCTTGTTTTATCACAAGATGAATCGGCCAAGATTTACATTTCAAAAATAAATGAGATATCATTGCCTTCTTTATTTCTATATATTCGTTATAATTTTCATCCTCATTTTTGCTTAGATCAATTATTTCAGAAGTTTCTAATAATTTATCAGATATACTGTCACAAATATTATTATTAAACGTGGAGGCTGTTAGACGAGCAGAACAAGGTCGAAAACCGGAACTTAATTTCTTGTTATCAACACGGTAAAACAATGCGAAATTGATATCTTTATTATTTTCATATAATACTGACATAATAACACGGAGAGTACAATCGAAAGATTCAGTACCTTTAAAAATATATTTATAATATTAATAATATAAATAATCTGCATTCATTAACAAATGGAAATCGAGTCACGGGACATATGGGCTGCCGTCATAGAAATCTTTAAAAAAATAATACCCTAACTTTAAAGCTTATATATCGATGAATTCTGAAGCTATTTTAATGATTTAAAATGAAAATAAAGCTCAAGTTTTAAGCTTTATTTTACTTTTGAATCATTAAAATAGCTTTAAAATTTATCAAGATATAAGCTTTTAAAGTTAGGGATTTATTTTTTAAAAATGTTAATCTGCCTGATTTCTATTGACGGCAGCCCATATGTTCCGTAACTTGATTTTCCGATAATTTACTAACCATTAATTCTATTCCTTAAATCTCCAAGAATTTTTAACCTTCTATTAAGTAAAACTTCATGAGTTGTAGTAAAGTTCACAATCGACATAGCCCAAAGTGACCCATCTTCTTTATAAATTGGGCTTGTAAAAAAACTAGTATAATGTTCTAATTCATCATGAGCACTTTGAAGGGCAAGATCATTATGAATTATGCCTTTTCTGGTTGCTTTGAGTCTTAAGTTAATTATAATTAATGATAAATCTGATGCCTTTATCATACAATAATACTGTAGAAGTGACGTTTTAATGCTTACTGTTCGTATAGAAACTTCATGTTGGCATAATGGCCAGAAGATTTATTGTATGGTTTTCCAAATGCTATTTAATATTGTAACTGTAATTATAATTTAATTTATTTTTTTATCTTGAACGTGATATAAAATCGTAACTAATAACTAACCGTGTGGGTGATTAGACCCTAACTTTGGCACAAGCGCTGTATAAATAAACGTAATTAGTTATATAAATATTTAATATGAAAATAGCAATCCGAACATTTACCTTGATTGTATATAAAAATAAGATCAGGACCAATAAAGATTGAACAAGGCAACACTGAATGGATGCAGTAATCCTGATAAATTAGTTATAGCATATAACTTTTAAGTATAAATTTAATTAAATGCGTATTACTCGATATAATAAAATTCTAGTCTATCGCTAAGAACAAATTTCGCTAAATCGAATAAGGTTTTAAGCGAGGCTATACTGTAAAACGATAAGTTACCAAAGCGGTCCTAAGCGAAGGTTCCCATGAATCCATAGAGCCGAGACAAGTTGATGACCAGTCATAATTTTTAATTAAGTCTACCACGTTGATTTCATCCCCTTTGTTATCATGGAAGCCGGTTAACATGGTAATTGAGTATATTTGGTTGTCATAAAATTAACGTTAAATGTTATTATAATGAAGTTGCGCCTTTTATACTAACGATACTGTATATCTTGAACAAATCAAGTACTTACGTACTGTACGTATGTAATCCGTGACATGTATTACAGATTTAAACTTTCTTCTAATTCGTGCTATGTAAGTTTCTAGATTTTTGCGTTTGTATTATTTTATCATGACAAAATTAGGCCATGCAAATTTAATTTATTGATTCTCGTAACATGAAACTTTTTAAATAGACCCGACCGGCCGGCTTTTTTTAAAGAATTTTATATATACGGTAACAATTTATAAAATTTTATAAATTTTTTTTTAAAAAACCCACCCGGTTATTAAAACATATAAAAAATTTTTATAAAAGTTTTCAAAATTTGACCCGGCCAGGTTACGAGAACCAATTAATTAATTTTTCAAGGCCTTAGTTACAAAATAGGGAGTAGTTAAAGCCAGGCAGTGTTGTTCTCGTTGGACAACCTTTGGACATTTTTGGCAAAACAACAATAAACTGGATTTACATAAAATTTTATATAGTGATGGAAAAATGCGCATTTTATAATAACATGCGCATTAATGCGCATGAAACGTAAAATGCGCATGATACCGCATGATATAAATTCTCTTTTTTCTGTTTCATTTCGGAAAAAATCGCTATGTTTCTCGAATTTCTGTCGCGACCTTGCTTGTCTTTGAGATTCATTCATTTTCTTTTCGGAACTTTTGAAATTCCTATCACTTAATTCCGCCAGGCATTATGCTCTCTGGCCTAAATTACGCGGCCTAACCAAAACTTATATAAATTCTTGATGGGCAAAAATGCGCATGTTTCAGGTATCATGCGTGCGCATAATACCCATCTCTATTTTTATATTAAGATATCCTATTTAAATTTTCTAAGCAAAAATGTTCAGAATTAAACGGAAAGCATGATCATGTAATTTTTATTTCAATTACTAAAATATTTAAGGCTATGGACAGTTTGGCTACTTGGACGTTTGAACATTCTTATCCTGTACCCTGGTAGAGGCTTTTATCCTGTGTACGGGGGTATAAGTAAGTTTGTTGGTGCAGATATAATTCTAATGGTGTGCTAGGGTGTTCGGGATTATGCGATGCGAAATTATGCTCATTGACCATTATGCTTCGCATAATTAAGAAAAAAAGGCATTCAAGGCATATGATTGGTGGAAGAGGAGTTTAATAGGGGGCTATTCCGAAAACTTAAGAGCAAGGTCGGAGCAAAAAATTAGAATAATTTCCGAAAAGTTCCAAACATTCCGCATAATCGACAAAATTTACTTAAGGGTAGAGTGGATGTAGTTATGTAATAGCTTGATCTGAGCCGTGAGCCGAAGAGCCAAGCCGGGCCGACTATCGGCTTAGCTACGGATCTACTAATAAAACATCTGCTCCAAAATTGGCTTGGCTTAAGACTTTGGAGCTGAATGTGGAGCCATGAGCCGATAGGTCTATAGCATATAACTAGTAGCCAATAGCAAATTACCCAATACTACGAACTTATTAGCTATTTAATCGTTTGGACAACAAATTCTTTGATAATGCTTTTTTAAAAACTATCCCTTAAGGAAAGACTTTGTATGTACGTATATACATTTAATGTTATGTAATTAAATTATCATTATTGTAATTTGATAATGCTGATCTTAAATTTAATAAGACAATGTTACTTTTAACGCTTGGCTCAGCTTTAAGTTGTCGCCTTGTAAATGGCTCAGCTCTGGTTTGTAGAGTTAAAGAATTGGCTCAACTTAGTCAAGTCGGCTCTAATGATGCCTCTCGAAACTATTTTGGTGTGTCGAAACTGTTTCGATAAATCCCATAGTATCGAAATATCGATATCG